GGGTTAAGGGCATTTTATTTCACCAAAGGCTCGTATATCAACTTTCAAGACTTGGTTTAAAGTTCACTTCTGCCCCTTAAGCTGGGCCTCTTGCCAAACAAAGTTTACTTTATTATTCTGCCTCTGGCACCAATCTTGAATTCACACAGCTACTTTGACCTAGGTTTAGCTGTACAAACGGAGATCCCTCAGCTTTACTGCCCTTGGCCTTCGCTATGTCCCCTCAGAGTTTCCCTAAACTCAGGACACGCTGGCCAAAACACCACAGCCTTTGCTTTGGGCCACTCTCCCCACACAAAATGGACTCCACAGAGCTCCCCTGTCTCAGTTTTTCACTCTGAAGCTTCAGCGCCTCTCTACTAGGCTTTGCTCCCCTTGAGCCAAGCCCTAGAAGGTGACCCACGCTCTCCACTTCAGATGACCCTAACTGAAGACCCTTGCTCTGGGCACGATTTTGCCAAGGCTTCACTGGAATACTCGTATCCCACCGCTGCCACCAATTTTATTGTAACAGCCTCCTTATACCTCACAAAGGGGCCGTTACATCACTCTCAATCACTCTTGTTACCACTGCCTGCAACCATTCCTTCAAATGAAGCTTCAGGCCAAAGTATGATTTCAAAATAAAAACTTAGGTTTATTGTGTACAAACAAAAAGGAATGGTAAATCACTTGAATATAAATAATAAAGCAATCACTATAATAATATAACAATCACTCCCAATCTCACAGACCCTCACTATATAGCACAGTTCTTATCTCACAGTATCTCCAATCCCTATCTCCCTATCTCACAGCGCTAACCGTCCCTATCTCAAAGCCCTATCTGGCCCTATCTGAATCACTCACACCATTCACTCCCCTTATATACAACAGTTCCACCCCTTATGTCCCACCCTCCGTCACGCCATTGGCAGATGACACACAGCTTCAGCAGTGATGGGCAGGTGATGTCATAGCTGTATGTAAAAGGTTTCATTTTGGAAGCACCTACCCCCGCATCCCTGATTCTGGTGCCCTGACTACTATTAAAAGGACATAAATATATTTATATACCATTTGCCAGGGACCAATGCAATGTATCTATTCATTTCATGACAGGATCAGAGATTTTGCTAGTTCAGTATAATTTTCGCCCATTTTTGGACACCTGTGGTTTTGAACAACCAGTATAAATTTGTGTATATTGCGTGCTTTCCCGTCTTTTAGAAAACCTGTTTGTTAGTTTATAAAGAACACTTACCCTATTTATATTTATAATTACATTTTTATAACTATAATTATAATTATATATTAGTCACTAATTTCATCCCTTGAAAAAAATACAGAAAATCCTTGATTGAAGTGCTGTTTGGTTCTCATTATCTGTTTCTATTTCTATTTATGTGTTTATTGCATTTCTCTTCAGACTCTACTTCTGTTGCAACAGAATATTCTCTGAAATTTGGTGAATCTATGACAGAGGATGAGATTGAAGAAAAGTCCTTCCGGTCCTTACTACCTTCTGAGAGTCACCGTCGAATCAATTTGAAAAAGCGAGTTCATCAAGATTATTCTGATGAGGAAGCTTCTCCTGGAAAGACTGCTCTGTCACCAGTTAAAGCAAGTGTTCAGTACTCTGTAGCCATGCATGTTTAGTAGTCCTAAAGAGTATCATTGTTAATGTCACTGGAGATGTTTTATTTAAAACTACACACATACCTGCATGCACATGCCCTGCAATGGTATAGCATGTTCATCTATAAAACATTTGCAAACTCAGTCATTTCTAAAGTGAATATATAGAGTTTAAAAGCCAGTACAATAAAATCTCTAGTTTAGGAAATGAATATTATCCACAAGGAATCCCAAAAAGAAATATTGCTATTCATATTAGCACTGTGATTCTAAAGCATTTACAGTGGTGCCCCGCATAGCAAGGTTAATCCGTTCCAGATTAACCGTCGCTATGGGGAAACATTGCTATACGGAACAGAAAACCCCATAGAAACGCATTAGACTTAGTTTAATGCGTTCCTATGGCTCTTAAACTCACCGTTTTGCGAAGTTTCTCCATAGCGTCGCCATTTTCGCGCCCTCGGTAAGCGAGGGCAGGGCGCGAAAATGGGGCGGGCGGCCATTTTCTGCACCGAGCGGCCATTTTGGAACCGCCGGTCAGCTGTTCCCAAAATGGCCGCCGGGTGCAGAAATGATCGCAATGCGATGTTTAGCCTATCTAAACATCGCAATGCAATCACATTAGCCACCCCAAAAAACGGGTCGCTATGCGGATTCTTCGTTAAACGGTACGCTCATTAAGCGAGGCACCACTGTATAAACCCAACAGATTGTGTTGGGATTCACATAAGGCCACATTTGCATAGAATTTCAGGATTACATGAATTATCAGGAAGAATATAAGGGCAGTTCCACAATACATACTCACCGGTGCATTCATTTTCCTGAAGACAGTGGTCTGTTCCTTGAGTTAGACTCTGCACTGAGTTTTGACCACTCTTGTGCGTCCAGAGTCCTTTTGTCTAGAGTCTCTCTTTGGGAAGCACAGTCTGACAATTATCTGTAACCGCTGATGTAAGGGAAGTTTCCAAATTAGAGGCACCCTCTACTGATGAGGAGCCATATTGCTTTCAGTGCCCTATTTCTGACATTCTTAGAAACATCTAGATAGTCTCCAGGGGAAGCACAGTGCTGGACTGGATGAATCCTTCTGTGTGATTCATCAGTTCATTTGGTTTTTATACTAACGATGGAATCCTTGGGTTGAATGGAGAGTTGTGAACCCTCAGCTTTCTGACCTCTACCTTTTCTTGGGAGGAAGGCTTTCCTAGAGCCCCCAAAACAATTTCTTAAAAGGAGGAGTCTAACACTTACTAATGATTTCCTTCTCACACACACAACAGCTGCATACCTCTGAAGTCCTTGGACCTGCCCTGGCTAAAGTGGGCATGCAGCTCTAGACTTCTTGCACAAATGACGTATTTAGAGTGTGCGCCCTCCTATAGGAAGGAAATACACTGCTCATTTTCAAAGTATATGCATGATCACGAAATGGACTTAATTTTCTACAACAGATGTTCAATTTTATTTGCTGGTTTAGCTTAATTAAAAAGTGGTAGCATGTTCTTTAGTAATGAGACTTGCATTACAAAATTTAATCTTGTCAAAGATACTGTGAGCTCTGTGGAATCTAAAATGTATATGATTTTTATATGCTTTTTGTTTTGTGGGGGCAAAATAGGAGTTAAGTCTGCCATTTTCAGGAGGGCAAGACAGCTTTTCTAGGTTTACAATGGAAATGGTGCGGCAGTACATGAAGGAAGAAGAAATGAGGGCAGCTCATCAATCCTCTCTGCTCCGACTACGTGAAAAAGCACTGAAAGAGAAGACAAAGGCAGAGCTAGCATGGCTAGAGCACCAGAAAAAGTAAGGAAACCTGGAAAACATAATGGTCTATTGCCTAGAATATCTATTATAATTTGGGGATTTATATTTACTTTGTCTTTCAATTCTGTGTGCTATGCTTCCAGACTCCTTTTTGTTTTGGATGCCTTGAGAGATAGATTTGTCTGAAATTTGGTTTTAAATGTATTTGTTCTGGTTATAAGGAAAGGATTACTTAATTTGCTTTGTATAAATTTTATTACATTGCTGTCCTCCTATGCATTTATGAAAGGTAAAGACTCTTTCCTCATCTTATCTCTTGGAGATGATTCTTCAGGTAACTTAATGCCTGGAATCCTGTTGCTTAATGTAATACGCCCTCTTACTCCTCTGTACGTAAGACTCAATTCCTCTGTATGTAGACCCATTGGAATCAACAGAACCTACAGAGGAGTTGATTCACCAGATCCTCACTGATTCAGTGGGCCTACTCTAATGTGACTTACTACACTAAGCAATACAGTGGTGCCTCGCTTAACGATGTTAATTGGTTCCAAAAAACCCATCGCTATGGGAAAACATCGTTAAGCGAAACGCATTTTCCCATAGAGATGCCTTGAAACCAGTTAATCCGTTCCAATAGGCACGGATTGCGGTCCTTAAGCGAAAAAACCCATAGGAAACATTGTTAAGCGATACAATGTTTCCTCCATTAGAATGCATTGAAGCCTATTCAATGCATTTCAATGGTTTTGCGATGTCCATTTTTGCAAATTTAAGTGTGTCTTAAAAGGTTCAAAAACTGTTTTAAATGCTTGGAATCGTTAGTGCACCTTCTAAAACGGGTGCAAACTTAATTTGGCTTTGATCTGACTTTTCGTTAATTTTTGCTGAATTTTTTTCCCCCACCAACTTTTGACAGCTGTCAAATTTGACAGCTCCGTGCTTTCCTATGGAGGAGAAAAAAATTCACAAAAAATTAACGAAAAGTCAGCAACTGTTTTAGATGCTTGGGTTCGTTAGAGCACCTTCTAAATCGTGTGCAAACTTAGTTTGGCTTTGTTCTGAGTCTTCGTTAATTTTTTGTGAATT